TTTCCTCAGGTGAGTTCGCTCTTTGCAAATTTTACAAAGAAATGCACCATCTGTGGGCAACGCTGCACAAAGTCGTAGCGCGATAGGTTAAGAAACCGAATTTTCCGGTTGATTTAAAGAGCCTGGCGTCTCCTTGTTTCACCCTGTATATCACTGAACGAGTACAATTTGGATATTCCTTGCACTACTCAAATCGTCTATTCCGACATTTCGAGTGTCAAGTTGGCCTTGCATAAACTTGTGAATGCATTCTTTCTCACGAGTCACGACCCGAATATAGCCACATGGAGATTTCATGAAAAAAAACAAAAAAAAAACCTAGTTATCTTTACGCACGCGCTTGTACTTTGTGACTGAACACTTACATCTTAGTGTCTGGAAGCACTATCTATGTTGTGGTTTTTCTTTTTTTTCTTCTTCTTTTTGTGAAAACGCTTTGTAATCGGGTGAATTAAGCGCGAAACAACAATACACGCGGAGGGCACTGAGCATGTTTCGTATTTTGATTAGCGCCAGTACTCCGCACTGCGCATAATTCGTATTTTGATTTGTGCCACTACTCTGGCGTGGAAATTTTCAAACACTAATTTCGAGAAGCAACTTCTGCTAAGTTACAATATGTAGTAAAAAGCATACTTTTTTTTTTATTTTATACATTAAAACTTGGTGAGGGGCGTTTTCTAGTTTTTCCTATTTTTTTGTGTTATAGAAAAGTAACTGAAAAGTAACATTGGTACTTTTTAAAAGTAACTGTAACTGTAACAAGTTACTCTTTTGTTGTGGTAACTGTAACGGTAACTTTGCTACTTTTTTCTGAAAGTAACTGTAACGAATTACTTTTTAAAAGTAACTTACCCAAGACTGCATGTCTCTGGGGGACATGCAGAAGTCAACAAAAGCTGTCCTCTGCTGCTACTTGCCATCAGCCCCATGGCAAAGTGTCTTGAAAAGTCGACAATCGCGGAGGAAGCGGCTTTTGTCTGTGAAGAGAGAACCCAATGATCCCCCAGAAGACGTCACTCAAAAGACTGCGCGAAAGTTGAAAGGCACTTTAATCTTTGATTCATTTCATTTTTTTTAAATAAAAGCTAATGCACGCAAGAAAACACAGTTTTTTGTTCTTCTATCCCTAGGTGACAGATTAATTCTTGCAGTTAATTGTCCAAAGTCCGAAAATCATTGCACCGCCCCTTTAAAACCGGTCTTGTCTCAGTCGGTTGTACTCAAATGCAAGTGTGTGAACGGGCCTTCATTGTTTCGCAATAATAAAGTAACTAAAGCATCACCAATACTTATCCTTTGTTTTATATTGTGTAAGCATTATCAACCCTTTTATAAGAATTAAATTTAACTGCTTTATAACGTACAGCGTGTACTCTAATGCTTCAGTCCCACTTTGGATGGTCCGCTAAAATCGGTTTCTCAATGTATTGTGCTCGAATTTACTACAGAGGTGCCCGAAGGTGGCGCATTAATTAATTCAAAGTGTGAATACATGAAACCTCCAAAGTCAAAATAAAAAATAAAACTGGTTCGGTAACGAAAAAATTATCGCTAAGCGTTTAACAAAGTAGAGAGCTGGGCCAGTTGGTGGAAGTTGAACATGGTGTAGGTGAAACAAGCCGTAAGAGTGAAGAGTGAAGAAAAGGAATACACAACACGGGACGAGCACTGACCTGCAACTAAATGTTTAATAGTTAAAACAAAAAAACGGGAAAACATACAAGGCACACTCAACCACGCATGCGCCACCCAAACTGTCTCGTTACAAAAGGGCTTCATCTATCAGTGCATTGCTAGACCCCCCCACCATTCATAGTAAAAAGAAGCATTTCTTTTTTCAATAGCACTACCCATGGCTTGCTGACACATTGCACTCCGTAATTAACAATCTGGAAGGCCTCCGATACTTCTTTCGTCACCCTATCTCCGTGCTTTCCTAAGATAGTGGTCTCCTCGAAGGATGGTTTGCATTTTCAGGTCCCGCAGTGCGTCGATAGATGACCGTCGACTGCAGGTTTCAGGGAATAGTCGTGCTCCCTGTGAATGCCCCTACCTGCACAAGGTATTTCATAATTTAAAAAAAAAGTGGGAGGCCAGTATTTCCGCCCCCGGGAGAATGAGCCAAATTTGTTCGAGGGTCCACTCGAAGGTAGAGGGGCTACGAAAAAAGAGTTGTAGCAGAAAGCGTGCCAAGTAGTTTGTGTCTTGTACTTCGGGTGTTGTGTACAAGATACTCCTCTTGTGGCAAGGTATAGATTGGACAAACCAGTAGATACTTAATTGACAGGCTTAGGGAGCATGTCTATTCCGTGAGAGCTACGGTCGGCAGCCATCTATTGACGCATTGCAGGACCTGCAAGTGCAAGCCATCCTTCGGTGAGACCGCTATTTTAGGAAATCACCGAGATAAAGTGACGACAGAAGTGACAGAGGCCTTCCACATTGTTAATTACGGAGCGCAATGTGTCAGCAAGCCATCAGTGGTGCTATCGGAAAAAGAAATGCTTTTCTTGACTATGAATTGGGGGGGTCTAGCGTTGCGCTGATAATTGAAGCCCTTTGTGACAAGACAGTTTGGGTAGTGCACGCATGGTTGAGTGTGCTTTTTATGTTTTCCTGGGTTTTAAACATTTAGTTAGTTGCAAGTCAGCTCTCGTCCTATGTTGTGCGTTCCCTTTCGTAGTCTTCATTGTTGATCACTGTTACAACATGTTCAGCTAAGCCTTTTTTTCTCAGAATCATCAAAAAAATCATTTTGGGCTATTCTGGCGTTTATTACGACTGAACAATGTGTGAAATGGAATAAAATATAATTGGTTTACCTATTCTTCAGTTTATTTTGCCCAAATAAGTGCTCCAGTGACACAAAATATTATTTAAGTGTACATGCAAAGTATAAAAGAAAACATAGTTTCTGATTTTTCGTGATTTACTCAGTGAGCCAATCTTTCCACAATTTTCGTGAAAGCTTCCACCACCTTCGGGCACCTCTGTAGTAAATCCTAGAGCGATACATTAAGGGGTAACTCTGGGCATTACACATTAAAGGGCAACGAAACCAAAATAAATGACTGGTATCGCTTTGGTGGCACCAAATATGATTACAACCGAATTATTATGTCAAAGTGAAGCCGCACACTCCACTAAAGCCGATTTCAACTATGCGACCAGCTGCTCTTTAGCGGGTGGCAGGCAGGTTCGCTTTTAGTGAAGGAACACTGGTGCAACACCCTCACGATATCATATCTCTGCCGTACGGCTGATGGTCGGTGTTGCCATCCCTCTAGCAGAAATTATCGGTTCTGCCGTGGACACCCGAAACCCATCTTTGGGCAGCGATGTATAAACCTATACAGAGTATTGAAAAACAAATTATAGTGTAGACCGCATATAACGTATGTCGCAGGAGTCGCGAAAATCTGCACTATAAGCGGTACCGCGCTATAACCAAAACATCAATTTTTCAGGCCAAAATACATGCCATGAGACAACTTACCTTTGTAAAACAATTTATTTTATGTTAGATGAAAAATAAAGCTTAGTTTGAGGAAAGTCTTTATTTCACCAGACTAGTACACTTCTCTCTCAAGTGTGTCACACATTTTGAAAGAAATGAGCGGCTTTTGCCTGGCGCAGCAATTTAACGGTGTCACGGGTTGCGGACGGACGTTGCGAGCGTTCAGGATTGCTAACCCTAATCACATTTCTCCGGTGATGAAAACGCGTGAAAATTCACATCCTTTATACGGTACGTGCCAGTGATACCTTCAACTTGAGCACAGGCATGAAATGCTCCAAATAAGAAATCCGGGCGATGTTTGAAAACACAAATGCTTAGAAAGCACCACTGTAGTCGAAGTAAGCAAACTTGACGACACGGGCGTTTCTGCCGTCTTGAGAGTGCCGCCACGACATCGCCGCACCAGTAGGTGGATCTTCCCTTCTAGTACGTGCTGGGTTATCATAGCGACACACAACGAAAATTCACAGTCAAAAATAGCGCTTTTACGCGGAACGATGAGCTTCCACCACGCCGTCTACGTCGACGATCACCACCGACGCCATGTTTGCGGATAGAAGAAGCCAACCGGCCGGCCCGCGACCGGCATGCAACGCTCGCGAACACTTCTCCTCGACCTGCGATTGGTTGGTCTGTCGTTGCGGTTGTTTCCAACGCAGCGGAGGGACGCATGCACGTGAACGACACATGCATGCGTCCCTCCGTTGCTATGGTAACTGAAGCCTCTCTCTCCGCTTTACGATAAGGAAAGAGGAACCATCTACATCTCTTCGCTTCTCCCCGCTTCTTCGAGCAACCTCCTTGCCCCGCGAGTGCTGCTTGTGGCTAGCGCCGTTATCTAGTGTCGCACAGGGAAGCGTGCTCGCTGCGCAGGTCGCTCGGCGCGGTCGGCGGTCTGTTCCAGAAACCGCACTATAACTGGTATTTCCCTTCGCGCGCCTGCATTTTAAGCGGTATGTAATTACATGGAGTTCTATGGGATGCGAACCGGTGGTTTAAAAAAGCCGCGTTATACCCGGTCCTACACTATAAGCGGTTACGTTGTAAGTGGTCTATACTGTATACCTTGTAATTGAGGGACACTACTTTAGCCAAAAGAAGTCGTGGTCCCAAAATAAAATATATTCACTGGAGTTGCCCTTTAAGAGCCTGATTTATGTGGACCATCCAAAGCGGGATTGAAGCATTAGTGTATATGCTGTATTTGTTTCCCAAAATTCTAAATTTTTGTAAAGAAGTCGGACAACACTGTAAGTCGAACTGTACACGACGGACTGTGGTTACGAACGAGTGAGAGTAAGGGGGGTTCTAAATGCTACGCATTTAAAATGCCTTTGCATTTAACTAGAAAGAGAGGCAATTTTTTTTTTCAGTGGTCATCTCCATTTCTTTTTTGCCTAGTTAAAAAGACGCCACATTAACATTCTTGAAGGCATACGACGCTTTTCGACCCGTGTCTCTTGTTCTCGACGCCCAGGCGGACAGTTCCGATGAGGGACAAGGAGGTGGTCCAGGACTACCGCTTCATGCCCGAACCCAACCTGCCCCCCTTGGTGCTTGCCGAAGGCGGTGCCGGTGACCGGGAAGGGGCACGAGGGATGCCCAGCGTCGAGGAGCTGCGTCGCAGCATGCCGGTGTTGCCCGCCCAGGAACGGGACCGTCTCGTCCGAGACCACTCCCTCACCCTACACCAGGCGCAGACCATCGTAGTGAGTTAAGCCTCGTCCATTTCGGTGCCTGCAACACGTCTTTGGCCGGTGTGTTTGCCATCCCATCTCGCATCGAAAGTGGTCCCAATGGGGCAACGAACTTGGTCACCAACAGCGCCGTGTCATGCTGTCGGATGTTAAGATCTTGGCAGTTGGTCGTAGAGACGCTGGGGAAAAATGCAAGCGGACGAAAAGGTCGCTGTCGTTGCAACGTGCCAACTCACTTTCCTGCAGAAGATCACTTATCATTTTTTTAATGAGATAACTATTAGTTCTATAACAGTTAGTTCTGAAAATTTGGCATCTGGTCCAGACCGCTAGTGCCACATTCCAGAGGAGATTTGGCGTTTGGAGACGCATAATTTACTTTTGCGGTGGATAAAGCGCCGTATATATATTTTTCAAGGACACGCCGTATGTTACGTGAAACTGCCCCATGCTACTTGCAGGGTAAACATGGCTGAAAATATGTGGTTTCTGTTAAGCTAGTCGTAGCATTGTTGTTCCTCGGTGTCCACATGGAACTATTTTTTAATCCCATCAGTCACCTTATGTTTGAAGTTTGCTTAACAAGTTATGCAAGATTTCTTTTTGTTTTTCATCCAACGTAGTGTTAGTAATGTTTGTGCACAACTGCGTGCTAATGAAATCTTTTTTTTTAGATTGTTATTTTTGTTTACAGTGTGGAGCGGAAGTCTGTCTGCTTCTTGCATGGGGGTTGTGATGATGTCAAAACTCTGAGCTCTTATTGGCTGATTGACAAAGAATAGTGACTACACCTCAATGCATCTAGCATTCAAGTCTACCCACTATCCTTTCACTCAAGGCCAACTAGAGTTTGGCATCATTCTGACGTCACCGCAACTCCTGCACAAGCAGCAGACGACTCGCTCTTCGCATTGGTATCTACTCTACGGTGTCTGTGATTATGTAAAAAAGTAGAAAAAACTTTTTTTTTTTCATGCACAGAAGTTTTTATTAGGTTTGACAGCACTGCTCATAAGTGGTGATGCATGAATATCGTGTGGTGCTTGTGAAAGCGCTAACGGTGGTGCTTGCTTTCAGGCGCAGTTTTATCATCACGCCTAGAGCAAATGCATTCCACGCTCTTATTATTTGGTGTCATATATGTCTTGTGAGAGTATGCTGCTTTATTGTTTATGTTAACAGTTTAAGGCATTCGCAATCATGTAAAGCACTTACACTTTTATGTTAATGCAAATGTTGTCCATTGAGATTCAGATGAACTGGCACAAACGATTAATGAGCTGATTGCGACCATACTATGTGCGTATGTTGAAACAATGTTTTGATCAAAACGTCCGTGTAACCTATTGTTGCTGGACCTTTCTCGTCTTTGGAAGGGTGAAGAAGGATTCCTCAAGCTCTTCGACGAAGTAACAAACTCCGGCGTCTGCAGTTCGAAGAAGGTTGCCAGCTGGCTTCTTATTGAGCTCCTGGGCCAGTTGAATGCAGCCCAGCTCACTCTTCAAGACTGGTGTGTTTCAACTTTCCTTCCGCAACCCATCTTAGTTAATTAATCTGACCTCTAGTAACTGAATAACAGGCTGAAGTTGAGCTAATTGGTACATAGAGCAAAAGTAAATGGTCAGTTAGAACGATAGGGACAAAACACAGACAGGGAGAAACAGACATACAGTGGTGTGTATATGTCTGTTTCCCCCTGTCTGTGTTTAGTCCCTATCAGTCTAGCTGACCGTTTACTTTTTCTCTAGTAAACTTCTTTTTGTTTCATCATGAAATATCAAGCATGAGCTGATGTCGCAATAAGTGCCCATACATACCCTACTTCTGCAGTGCTTAAGGGACCATGAAACTAATTGCTTATTATATGGTGGGCCAAAAGAAAACTAGTAGAACATAAAGAAAGCCAAAAACCTGCTTTCTGGTACGAACATTTGAAAATACAGTCGACTCTCACTAAAACTCCACGAAGTCACAAACTTTAGTTAGATATCACAAGTTTGAATTATCAGAAATTCACCTAAATATGATGTGAGCAAAAGTAGTGATTTGCTATAGGAATAGCTACACATACCAAGCAGATTTTTGCACTTTCCTCTACATAGGCCTAATTATAGCCAGGCACACACATAAAACAGGTGAAGTTTGAAGCAAATACAGTTGAACCTCTTTAAAATGAACACTGATATAGCGAATTATTGGATATAGCAAACTAATCACAAAGTTTGGTTGGTCATATTTTATTTGGATGGAAGTTTTAGTTATATAACGAAACTGAAACCGTGAAATCGGATGCGCTATCAGTTATAGCGAAGCAATTCCTGCTTTGCTTGCGTCACAAAATACTACGAAGGTCATTAAAAAGTAGAAAATATCCAAAAAGTAATTTCTAAACGAAAAACGAAAAGAAAAAAAATACTAAAAAAATTAGATTGCTTGATGTGCAAAAATGCGCATTTCGGGAGGTAGCACCACCTATGAACCGGGCGAATAACGGCGGTTGTGCCGCTGCTGGCCTCTATGCAAGGCGTCAAGAACCAGTGCAGACTAAAGCCAACCACACACCACACCACTCGTAGCGAAGCTGCAAATGGGGACGAAGCGAAAAACTGTCTCTCTGGAGAAAAAAGTGAAGGTTTTGAGGGCGGTAGACAGCGGTCGGAAGAAGAAAGACATCACTGCGGACTTCGAGCCTGCAGCAAGCACGATATCTACCATCCTGAATGCAAGGAAGAAGGTTGAAGTTTGCTATGCAAACAACACCATCAAGACAAACCGAAAGAGTCTTAGGCCTTGCCTCGACACGGACGTCGAAGAGACTGTTCTCATGGTTTAATGACGTAACGGTGCGAAACTTGCCGGTGTCTGGTCAGCTTTTTCAAACAAAAGCAATTAGTCTGGCATGTCAGTTAGGGCATGCTGATTTCAGCGCGAGCAGGCGGTTGGCTCTAGTGCGGTGGCTCCAGCTGAAGAGGCACCAGCTCAAAATTACGTCTTCAAATAAATGGAGTTCCAGTTCGGTCTCTCGCTGGATGCCATGTTGGTGAACTTTTGTCCTACGTCTTTCAATGGATGGAGGCAACGTTTTTCAGCTCGCTCGAGTTCTTTCACTTTGTGATTGACTGTGCCAGCCATACTAGTCAGGAACATAGAGGAGTATAGGCCGGTACCTTATTTTTATACATACCGGTGTTCATTCGGTCTTAATACAAGTTGACGTCAGGGAAGCTCGACTCGTTGGTGTTCAAAATGGCCCTGGTAGATTCTGCCGGGGCAACTTCAGAAAGAAAAATGGTGGAGTAGGAACGGACTTGTACATCCCCAGTCATACTTGGCGAGCTCTGTCGTCGACGGAGCCACTCGTCGGGCTTCTGCATTTCATCAACACCAAAAACGGCACCAGTAACTACTGGTGTCGGTTTTGCCCAATGCTAAAAATAGACAAAACATATGATACCCATTTTTTGTGGCTTCTAAAACCCTGCAAACACGTTGATTGAAAAAAAAAAAAAAAGATGTTGCAGAGCCGCGTGATTTTCGGTAACTTTCTCCTCTATATTTCTTCTTCCTCCCCAGTCCAGTTTCGGTGTCGGTTTCGAGCAGTTGCGCTTTTTTTACTTTTTTAAAATAAATGTGGCGCTGTAGCAAAATGTGGATTGGGTATTCTTCTGACACCAGAATGGATTGATTGGCAAAAAATCAAAATATTTTTTGGGGGTGTCAGTGTCCCTTTAAGCAGTTGAAACAAAAATGTTTGCCTAACTTTCTGGGGAGAGGTAATTTCACAATGTTAGGTGTTCAAACCAGCGGAAGGATGCGTCGACGCCTGGTGTAGGTTCTCGCGTGACAAATGCAACAAAGCCATTTCATACTCATTTCGATGGATGAGTTAAATTTGGTCTGTTTACATTGATAGACCCGCTTGATGGGTATACTATGTGACACTGTTAGCATGAAGAAGCAGTAGCCGGTTTTTCTTGTTTTTCTTTTAAAGTCAAAAGAATCTCGTCAATACTCCGTCTAGAGCACTGCACGGGCCGGACTTTCTAGGCCCAGACCGGGCCCGGCCAGAGCCCGATAGAATATTTAATTTCTTGCCATGGCCCGGCCCGGGCCCGGCAGAGTTTTTAGACAGAAGCTTTAACCCGGCCAGAGCCCGAGAAAAAAAAAAATTAACATAAGCCTGAGCCCGGCTTGAGCCCGACAGATTATATACAGGAGCACGAAAAAGTTTGTAGACTTTAATCTAAAAACTGTCTAAGCATAAAGCCAGCATATTTGACTTAAATTTATTTTAAACTTCAACCAAGTTATTGTTGTTGTTGTTTTTGTTTTTTGACACAATAAATATTTTGAATTTGACGATGTATTTTCGAGAATATGGGCGAAATATGTACTTCATAAGTGATTTAGAGAAGAAAAAGAGTGGGCAATATTTTATTTACTGTATGCATTTCTCGAAGAGATATTGGGCTTTTCGTTGTTCAATTCGTTTCACAGAGAACTTTCCTCTCTACAAGGTTTTTTGAAGAAACACTCAGAATCCCGCTAGTGTATCTTCAAAAGGCTGTATTAGCATAAAATTATCGATGGCAGTTAGCTTATCTTTGGTGGCATAGTAAGGCCCTTTGCACGAAGTGCAAAGTCAAGCTCACGTTTTTCTCCTTTTTTTAGTGTGAAAGGCAGAAGAAAAAGACACTCATGTTGCACCTTGCGACTGGAATGCCCTCGTCTTCTTGACCCCACTTTGCCACTAGGCTGGTGGAATCCATACGTTTTCTTTTATCCACGTAAAGGCCTTCCAAAAGCAAGACATCTTTTCTTTTTTGAACGGTGCCAAGTTATTTTGCATTTCGCTGGTTTCTAAAACGTCTTTCCTTTTTCGAATGGCACCATAGTTATTTTGCATTTCGCTTGAACTTAAAAGATTAATCAGAACACTTTTTGTTATCAACAATTTAGAATTTGCAGCGAACGACTGCCCAGCCAGGGCCCGGGCGGCCACGGCCCGAAAAATATTTTGTTCAAGCCCGAGCCCAGCCCGCGGGCCGGGCTGGGCTCGGGCTTTTGGGCTGGCCCAGACCTGTGCAGTGCTTTAACTCTGTCTAGTGCAAGCTTGTCTGCTTCTTGCGCAGTAATCACGGGGATGTCAGAGTGCTGATCTCTGATTGGCTTTGATTTCAAAGATTGTAGGTAGATCTCTTTCAGGATTAAAAGCGCTACAACACACACACTAGTGTTTTTACTGGTCCTCGTTTTCTAATGCTTTTAATCCTGAAATGTATCACCAACTAGCCCAAGTGAACACCCTTTTATAGGTAGATCTCAATACTAACTGCCTCGAGGACTACCCACTATCCTTCCAATTAGGGCCAGTCGGAGCTCGGCGTTCTGACATCAACGCAACTCCTGCGCAAGAAGCAGACAAACTTGCACTCTGAAACAGAGAGGGTGAGAACGGTCGGGCATCTCTTTCGAATGGCCGGCCTTCAGTGTTATGGAGGGTAGAGTGCTTGTGCTGGAGGGGGGACTACTGAAAACGTCGCTGCCATTGTCATCCCGTCAGTGACTCTAGTAGTGCAGTAAAGAGTGCTCGTTTGGTGCTTCCACTTCAGGAGTAGAGTTTGATGCTATTCAGAGCCATTCCCCGAGTAAAAAGTGAAAAGCACCGATGTCGTGTTCACGCTTTCTGTTTATCGTGCAGCGTGAATAGCTACTTATCCTAGGGCTGCACCTGCATGTATTCATTTAGAATCGCTAGCAAGGTTGGTGGTTGTGATTTTAACTGATTTTACACAGTTCCATAAAAAAAAGCACAACCTCGGCTTTTTGTGTGGGCTTGTGGAAGGTCCCACCGTTATTTATGAGCCTCTCGCTGGAGACGGTTGCCAACTTCAAGGTGGTGCCGTTCTGTTGTTTCGTGTTTTCAGTGGTTTGGATGCGGCGCGGTTCGTCGAGCTGTTAGCCCTGATGGAAGGCCGGCGTATCAGTCGGCTGACGGGCGAGGATGTCCTTAAAGTCCTGGTGAGCGGGGATTCCCGGAGACCGGAAGAGGTAAGAAAGCGACCGAACAGCAGACTAATTGTATATACATTAATTGCAGCCACACCGTCATTGCAGTCTGTCTTGTCAAGAGGCAGTCTAGCGGTAATGGATGTTTGATTTAAGAATTCTAAAAGATTTCAGTGAGTGCAGAGGTTGCTGTCTGTAAGGGTTTGCATCTAAACCTCGTTTAGTTTCCGAAAGCTGCATTTTATATAAAGCGGTGGAACTCCAGAGAACGAAAATGGGTCTGCGTTAATGTTATAGGTGTCGACAGACGCACACCGACCCCAGGGGCTTGCCTTGAAGATGTGCCTAGTGCCATCCACTCAGCGAGTCTAGCAACCATTAAAGGCCGGGACTATGTTTATGCATTCTGGGAAAGTGACTTCGCGGCTTGCTTGCTTCAGTTCATTGCCACATGAAATGAGTTAGTCTGGTTTAAGGAGAGAGACGGACTTCTAAAAAATGTCCTCCCGTCATCACTCTGGCAACAAGTGCGCTGGCCGACATATTACACTGTGTCACTTCTGTTACCTTTACTGTCTGGCAGTCTTTATCTTAGTCTATTAAATTATTTTGATGTAATTAAATTATTTCAAAGTATGTCCTAGCGCCATCTACAGCTTACTTAAAGGGGCCCAGGTGGCCAGGCCTAATGGTAGTTACACATAACAGGAGACCTAACAAAAGATATAACCCTAGGGACCAGCTATTAAACCCGCTGACATGTAATAATCCGTCCTGATCAAATGCTAAGCAAAAGCAACAATGGCCAAGCCATAGTTTTAGCCGAAAACTGCATTCCACCGGTCCCGATGACATGCTACGGTGAAAATGCGGCCCAGGTCTTCCATACCCGACAAACTTCTATGAAGGTTGATACTTTATCGTGGGCATGTTGATGAAATATAGAAAAATAAAAATGAAAACCACCACCCTTCCATTTATCCATCTTGCCGATTCCTTATGCTTCCATAGTTGTGTCATTCTCTGTGTTTTTCTTGGCAGGTTTCTTACTTTTGCAATTTAGTACATTTGTAGTAGTGTGTGACAATTGTGTTTAAACGGTATCATCCTAACCAGAGGCTGTACTAATACACTGCAATTATTGTCTGTTAACTTTCTCCAGATCGTAGAAGAAGCTGCTGCATGGCAAATGCCAGATGACGAGTTACTGCAGCTCTGCAAAAGGGTCATCGAGGAAAATCCTGATGCCGTGAGATATGTTTGCCCTCTAGTAGTTATTCAAGGACGTTTTGCACCTGATGTTTCTTCCTCCAGCACATTAGTTTGGAAACATTCCCTGTGTATTGGCAGCTTCGATTTCTAATTTTGGAAGCATATGGACCCTTTGATTGCACAACCAAAATTCTACATAGCTAGGTACTAGCCAACGGCTAGTACCTAGCTATGTATACTACAGTGAAATACCGGAGAAGCATCGGGCACTTAACGTATAACTTGCAGAATTCCCAAGTTTGGGATATGTTAAAGCGGGCTCTTGAAACGAAGTGGGCGCTTCCGGCATATTTTATGTTGAAAGCGCCCACTTAAGTCGTTACACTACAATGACCTATTCGTGTACTAGGTCACTGTAGCCTTATAGTATGATTACTTGATATTGTTCAGCGACAAAAAAGTTAATTCGAGGTTCTTGCTCGGCGCTGTTACATACCCTAAATGAGAAATGTTGCCACTGCTTTAAGACTGTCGACCTGGGGTCTTTAACGTGTACCACGCAGTAGCGACACACGGACGAACACCAATACAAACAATGCTCATCCAGGTCAAAACGGGCAGGGGTGGGGACCGAACCCAGGACCCCAGGCTTCTGCAACGCAAGGTTTCGTTTCATGCGTTTTAAGCTGCATTTCCTGGCACCGTTTTTGCTGGTGCAGGCATCATTTCCTTGATGGCGCATTGACCTCTTCCACTAGCAACTTATCAATCGCAACTGATGTACCCAATGTTTAATTTTTGTAAGACCACCTGCTAGCTACATATAGTGATTACTCTACTGAGCCCATGGTAAGAGGTGAAAAGCTAAAAATTTTAAATCATAATTTTATTACAGATGGATAGTTTTTGTCAGGATTGCAAACTGGCGGAGAGCTGACATGGTTTTTATTTAGATGACATGATAAATGATAATTGGTATTTGTCATTATTTTATTAGAATTAACACTTAACCAGATACTGACAGGGTATTTATGCTCTTCAAGGTTTTTATTTGTGCATGACATATGAGAGCCCAACTACCTAGAACACAATTTGTGACTCGAAATTCGTTTTCTTTCCGCCCGAAAACCGCCGATCGAGAACTGGCCAGATTGAGTTGCGCTCACTCTCTTCTTCGTGGTCACGTGCCGTTTTTTATGGTTTAGACACAACCACCAAGTATAATCAAACTTGTGGGTCGTCGACAGTACACTTAATACTAAAAATGGACAAATTATACCCATTTTTTGTTCCTTCTAAAAAGCTGCAAATACGTTGGTTGAAAAAACAAAACAAAAAAGTTGCACAGCCACGTGACTTTTGATAACTTTCTCCTCCTCTTTATTTCTTCTTCCTCCCCAGTGCAGTTTCGGTTTCGAGCAGTTGCATTTCTTTTACTTTATACGTGCTCAAAACAAACCCTTCACGTTCGTAATCTATAAAATGCACCTCATTTTCTTTTTCTGCGTGCCACAGTTGTACATGTTTCCCAGTACACGCTATTCTCGGCGATGATGTTTCTTGCCGAATGTTCTCCGACAGGTTAAAGCATTCAAGAGAGGGAAAGATCGAGCCTTCAAGGCCCTAATGGGCAGCACAAAGCAGCTGTCCAACAGGAGGGCGGACATGAAGACTGCAAAAGCCATCTTATTGAAGTTGCTAGCTGAATGGGAAGGACCAAAATAAAACTGATCTAGTCCTTGCCTCTCGAAAATCCTTTGACTGAAAACAACATAAAAGAATCGCAACCAATGATGTTCACCATTGGTCAAAACGGCACAACCGTATACTCGCACGCTTACCTCGCATTTCTGCAGGGTGTTTGCGAGCACTGTTCAGGCGTAGAGGAAGCAGTACAGGCTTCTTGCACCTGACGTCACTTCCGGTTAGCCTCGAAATCAAGACCAACGTTGTCGTCTGGCACCAGTGCCTTGGCGCCATATTGGAGACATTTGGCATCTGATTGCAGCAGAGCCCTGGCGTTTGGCTCGGTCGCATTTGACGATAAACCAAATTGGCGGCGAGCGGCCGATGGAACAGAGGTCAGAATGAGCGTGAATTGTGGTTAACATCCTCAATCGGCACTTGAACGCCTTGCAAGTGACGTCGGACGACAAAAAATGCGTTGGCTGCTAATCGTTTGCGGTGGCTGACGAGACAATGAGTGCCGCTGCCTATACTCGAAATAATGGGGAATATTGTGCAAAACTCGTCAGTGCTGTAGCTGGTCCTCCAACTTTTTGACTGGCTAGACAGACGAAGAAAGGAGCTGTCGCACAAGTAATTTCGTCCACTTGTTCTAGTCAAAGTGCACTTACCCTTAGTTGTTGCGCAGCTTTTCTGTCGAGATTGTGCCGGCGCATCCGTCGGATCCATTCACGATGCCGGCGAACAGATTGCTCAAGCGTCGCCTTGTCCTGGTTCCTAATGATCGCCGGAATTTAAAAAAAAAAAGATGGAAAACAATGCTGGTAGTCGTAACTCTATTGTGTCACTGACCTTTACGGCTGGAACAATGAATTCCGGCGCAGCTGACCGTTTTAAACCTCGAACAAGCGGACAAACCACGGTGTGAAAGCGGCCCCGAGGCACACAAAACATAGCGTAACAGCGACGAATGCCTCCAATGTGGACTCCGGCGAGATTTCCAAGCCAGAAGTAGCGTTGCATCATGGTCTCTTGCAAGAACCCTATATAAATAGGCGAACAAACAGAGCACAATAAAACTTCACTATGGTGTCTTTACGTTCTGCACGCATCGCACTCGAATTTCGTAAATGTATGTTTCTGGAACGAAATTCCAAGAAAAGAGGCATGTTATTCCTATGCGCAGGGAGAGAAACGGAAACAAACTGCCTGGATGACGCTGCTACATGCAGATGTTGCCACTGGTGCTCAGGTCTGCTGCATCTTCTTAGGGGTACCACATCAACGTTCACCAACTATATATACATGTGCGCAGGCCATTCTGCTCTGAAGGAATGCTTTACCTTGCACGCAGTGTTGCAGCAAAACAAGATACGTAGGCCGTTGTACATTCCAATGACATCAAAAATATGGGGACAAGTTGTCACACTTTCATGCTCCAAAAGTAGCACTTGCAACGGGCCGAGTGCAAGTGCACTCGGCCCGTTGTATAGATGAAGCTTGGTGTGCTTCGTAGAAATGGGGCAAATAGCACAAATTATGCTTCTCGCAGTTCCTCCTGTAGGCTGTCGCTTTTCTGCAATGCATGAGTAATTAAAAGCAGTGAAGACCCACTAAGCTACACTTAAGCATCATTGTTGCCAGTTATCTGAAGCTTCATTTGAAATAACGGGAAAAACTTTTCCGTCTTCCAGAAATGTTAAAAGAGTCCGTGATGGGTCAAAACGACATTGCCGAGCCCCCGAGCTTTCCAACATGGTATCTAAAGTTGAGGAAGTCGCCAAGCACCAAAATGGCGGCATCCACAAGGAATTCGGGTAATGGAGTGCCGATGCGGGGTGGTGCGCGAAAGCACCCATTCTCAAAAGCCCCCGTGTCAAATGCTCCGCGACGAACGCCCCACCCTCTTTGCCCCGCTTTCAAAAGCCCCAGTTTTATAAGCCTCTGACATGAATCCCCCGTGTCGGGTGGCCGGGTCCTCAGCGTGAGGGTGAAGCATTCTGCTTTCAAGGGAGCTGTGCAACAATTTCAGTGCTCTGCTTAAATAATTTGGGCGTTCTGTCTCGACTTTTCTGAAATAAAGAACAAAAAACCGCTTTTGCCTGTATGTCCTAGCTTTTATTTTAAAAATTGAAAAAGATTGAGGTTTTTGGCACCTCTCAATTCCTTCACCATCTTCCGAGTCACGTGCACTGTGACCTCAGTGGGGGACGCGCGGGTTTCCAATAAAGCACTCTCCCTAGAGCCATCAGTGAGCAGCGAGAACTCGCCCGCTCGCGATCATGTGCTTGCGCAGCGCGATCAACATGGCGAAGAGGACTGTGATCGTCCAGGTCCGGCCATCCCCATCTGGCTCTGCCCTCATTCCTCTCTGGCTTCTGGCGGCTGTTTGCGGTAGCAGATAGAGCTGGCGGTTCTGTTCACCTCGGATAGATGGTGCCACTAAAGCTTCGTGTAATAAGAGTTTTGTTGATTTACCAGGCTTTGGACGCATTTCTATTTCTGCTGGAACGACAAGATTTATAGAAAAATTAGCTTTAATCGAGCAGGTATTTGCACAACTTGCTATTGTTTTACAAGCCCCCTTGGACATCACGCCGTGTGGTTCTCGTGGCACCACTCGCAGCTGCAAGTCGTCGGGAAGTATTCTAACTTTTGGCTCGCGATTACGCGGCGGAATCGCAACATTTTGAAGAAAGGGGATGTGTTTTCTGTGACAAGATAAACAATGTCAAAAGTAGAAGATGCAAATTCTTTCACCAATATAATCGTTGCACAGCTCCTTGAACTACTTAAGAGACAGCAAGTGTGCACGCAAGCTTGTGTGACATAATCGTGCCGTACCTCGAATTCAACTAAGGAACAACTGGATGAAGCTTCCCATTCTTCAGGCGTACACCATACGCATTCGTGTCTTGTGACGTTAGAAGCGAGGACAAACAGAAAATATTGGTCACTGGCAAAATATTTAAAGTTAGTTTTTATGAATAAGACATTGAACCAGAGCTTTTGCTGACTCTGAAGCACTGGTATGGACTGAAGCACACGCAGATTCACAGTTGGGACGAAGTGAATTCTGTCAAAACTGTTAACCCACAGCTCACAGTGCCATACTTGTTACGTACAGCACCAGGGGAAGATTTAGAGATGACGGGGGAGAGTGGGGGGGGGGGGGCGGGCAACTGCCCCCCCCTCCCCTGATGTCAACTTTTCATTAATGAAAAAATTTATGGACATCAGGGGCCCTAAACTTGTCAAACACAAAGTTGGAGCAGAAAGTTCACAAAGCGTGCCGATTGGACGCCGGCGAAAAAAGCACGAAGTTATCGTCGTGATATGCCAATCGGTGCACTCTGTCAACTTCGGCCCCAACTTTGTGTTTGACGAGTTTAGAGGCCCAGCCAAAAGTTTAGTTTTTGGTGACATAACAAAGATTGGGTCAACCAAATAGATCTGGGCAACTTTTCGGCCGTAACGACATACCTCAGCACAAGCCCCTCCCCCACCCAGCCGAAAGCATAAACCCCCCCTCCCCCCCAAAGCCTGACACGTCGTTCTACAGATATTTTTATTCATCTAGGTCAGGGATGGGCAAAATACATGCAAATATGTATCAGAATACAAATACAAAATACTTCGTCAAAAATGTATTTAATTACAAATCTAACTACATTTCCAAAAAAGCATTTAAGTACAAGATACAAATACAACCAAATGTATTTGGTCTCCTCCAAATACTTTTGCAAATACATTCCTCAAAATTTGCATCAGCAACTTCAGGGCACCTGCAACGGGTTTCTGGGTATCCCATTTTAATTTTGCATCGCACACTTGGGGAGTTAGTGTGCGAGGCTCTAGTAACGTAATAAAAATATAATCACAAGAAAAAATGTAATCAGCTTGGACGTAATAGGTGAAAAAAGTCCAGAGCTTCAAGCAGCTTTCTTTGTTGATTATATTTTGGTATAGACCAACGAAAAACCGAGACTACCAAGCCGCGCAGCACTAGCTAGAGAATGTTTTATTGTTGCAACTCGCACCAGTTACGAAAATCTGGACGACCCGCACATTTAGAATGTTTTAGGCAAAAATATGGATGGAAATCAGGCTGGAAAGCATCACAAGTTGTCACAGGCACTTATTTAGCCAGTCTGCCTGTGAACGTCGCTTTCGTCCCTATTCTTGCCCTGGACTAGCAAGGTAATCACAGTCGCTAAATGCTGGTGCTGGATTAAGAGACACTGCATTCGGTGCAGAACATAGTTTTCTTCCTGCTCTGGAGAGTGACAATAAATTTGAGGGATGTAATTTTGCCTACAAAATTGTATTTAATTACAATTATATTTGAAATACCCAGGTATTAGTATTTAAATACACACGTCAAATACATTACCCAATTTGTAAGTAGATACAAATGCAAAGTACACAAAGTATTTGAAATACGTATTTCAAATACTTGTATTTGAAATACTGCCCATCCCTGATCTTGGTAGATAAAGGCTACAATTCTATGTCAGAAGGTACCGTAAAATACCGAGATAGCCTACCCAACATCAAGAGCAAATTGTCTGAAAATATGGAGTGGGCTAAATTTCAATGTACAATCTAGAAAAGTTTTAAAAAATTAATACGGTATTTTTAGGTCACGTCCCTTCTAAGCTTGTTATGGTGGCGAGGGGCAACAAAGTAAAGATGGCTATACTTCCCAGTCAGCAACGTTTGCTTATATTCCGCCATAGCAAACTAGCCGCATTTACGCCGAGGCCATCGTTGATCCCAACACTACTATTTCTAGGAGTGGGCTATCTTTCGGGGGTGGGTCATTTCAGCATTTTACGGTACATCTATATTCAAGCCCAAGTGCAATACTGGTTATGCATATTTATTCAATTGGCCATTTGTACGTCATTTCAAGTTTTTCTGCTCCACAATCTAACCCTATTTTGTTGTTTCTTTAACATAAAAGACCCTTTGAAGACCCTCAACAGATTAGGCTAAGACATAAAACAATGCTGGTTGAAGTGCAAAGAAAGTGGGACGGGGGCAGTGAGGACGGGGCTTTTGGCACGGGGGAATATGGGACGAATTAATTGAATGCGGGTTTTTGAAACATGGGGCGAATGACTCGCGACAGAGATTCTGCACACGGGGCAATCGTGCTACACCTTTGATACGTCTACTCTAAGCGTAGCTTGTTCAGTGGCTCTGGAGTAAAAGATGACAAGTGCACTTGACGGAGCAAACCAGAGACACCTCAAACAATAGGGAAAGGATTACAAAACTCCGGAGTACAGCCAGTGTTCCGTACAAAGGTTGAACCAATTGTACGTTATTTAAAAGAACACTATAATTACTTACCGTGAACCTGCACATGCCTGCCATGACAATTCGTAAGTGTGGCAATGCCCAAGGCATTCATTTTGGTGTCAAGAAGAACAAATTGAACTTTTATTTATTTATTTCAATTGATCTTCAAGGCCCCCTCAGGGAGGGTATTATAGAAGGTTTTAACACTTGTGTTTGTAAAATTAGTAAATTAGCACAATAGCAATAAAATGACACAAGAAAGTATATATGGTTAAACTGAAATCAGTCAAAAACAAAACATTGTAAAAGCACTTTCGTTTTCTTTCCCTTCTCTTTTTCAACTATGAGGCAGCAGTGAGAATGACTTTGCTCAATTTCTCTTAAAAATGAAGAGGATAAGATATGGTAACAGTGTTGTGGAGAAAGTCATTCCATTCTTTCGCTGCGCTTTTTTAAAAATGAAGCAGACGAGGTCACTGTTTTAGTTTTGGTGCGCATCATGTTATGCGGATGACCGGTTCGTGCGGAGGACGTGATGTACGGTGAATTTGGCAGGAAATCGTAATAGAATTTGTGAAAGAATGTTAGTGTAAAATATTTTCGGCGAAGTGAGAGGTTATCTAGTTGAGCACGTTCCTTTAGGCCGGCGACACTTATTTCATATGAATAGGTAGAAAAAATGAACCTGATTGCATGATTTTAAATCGCTTCTAATTGATGACCGAGATAATTTTGGAATGGGCCCCATATAGTAGCAGGGTACTATAGCTTTGGGCAGATTAGTGTTTTATAAGCTGCAAGGTCCGAGTGGTTGGTTAGACTCGGGGATGACATGGTTAATATGTAGTGCCCAAGATAGGTTACTAGAAAAGTGCACACCTAGGTATTTATAACTTAGTGCTGATGGAATTATGGTCTAATTGATAGACTATGCATACTTGGCACAAGGTACTCACAATTTTGCGAAATGTTACTAAGTGTAGTGAGATAAGTGCTTTAGCGCAGCAATCGCATCACTGAGCAGACACAGCAAATGCCAGCACAAAGAAGAAAAGAAAGAAGATATGTACCATAACAATGGAACCATAACCATAACATTGGAACCCCCGTCGACATCAACCAAGTCGGCACCACCGTTGTCTTTATATATTTAAAAACGAACCGAACAAGAATGCCTGGCAACGTGCCCCCCTCCCATCAAGGTTGCCACCGCAACGATCACAGTGCAGAGCATGTCCATGCGGACATTCCGAGCAAGGTCAGGGTGCTCAACGTCCTCACGCACTATCTTATCATTGTGGGCACATTTCACCTCTATTCCGTCGGCTTCATCGTCAACCGATGGGACGAGAGTGAAAGGGACGTCAGTGATTTCCGCCAAACGAAAACAAACCCCAAAGACGCCACCCAAGACCACACCCATGCACTCGAGCACCAAGTCGACAGGCTTCGACGCCATGTTACGACGGTGAGTGTGAAGCGGACGTGAGGCTAAAGGCTTTAGAAATACCTGCCCTTCCCCAGCCTCCCCATATGAATACTTCGATGCAAACGAAGCGGCTACGCAAATTCTTTAAAGAAGCGATGCAACAAATTTTGTACTTTGCGCAAATACCGCTTAGAACGGATTCCTGATGTTAATGACCTATGAAAGACGCGCTCGTTTTAGAGCGCAGCTCTTAGGGGCCCGTTTCCAGTTTGAGCGGCGTCACCGTCGACGTAACCGCGAGGTCACGTGACCGTTGAGGTCACGCAACCCCCCCCCCCCCCCCCCCGAGGTCACATAAACATCACATGACCCCCCCCCCCCCCGAGGTCACGTGACCTCAAGGAGTCGCCTATCCCTCAGTACGCTTTCATTCTCCTCAAGAGCTGTGGCGTTACAGGGAATTGTAAACGGCTTTCATTTTTTCACTCCACGCAATAGAAGTCCCAGAAAAAAATGAAAGAAAAACGAGCAGCGTTCACCCCCTCAACTCGCAGCCAGAACAAGCGGCCACGTGATCTGGAGCCGATTATATGCCGCCGATGTTGATCATAGCCATGCGCCGGGGTTGGCAAAGCACAAGACACACGCCGAGTTCCAGACATTGTTATGGCTCGGCTATTGTCGTCGTTGCGATTGGACACGGGCCACTACCCTAATGCTTCTCGAGCTAGTAATTATCACGAGCCCAAATCGAGCGCCCACGCATTGCTTGGGTCCAATCTATAAACCGCATTCAAATATCGTCATTGCGGTGTACTGCAATCCCCACGTTACGTCATGAAATTTTGCAAAGGAGAGATTGAATGAAAATTATCGCTTTCGTCCTTGATATTACACTGCAACAAAGGAGTTTCTTGGCCAGTGGCGTTGCGTGCGAGTATTCTTGAGTCCCACTAGTGCCAGTAAGCTCGTGTAACATGAAAAACATTCCAATTGAATACCGTTGCACTGCTCCTTTAAATGTTTTAGAGCGCAGCTCTTAGGGGCCCGTTCCCGGCTTGAGCGGCGTCGGCGTCGCCGTAACCAAGGACACCCCAAGGTCACGCGACCCCCCAAGGTCACGTGACCCCAGAGGTCACGTGACCCCTCCCCCAGGGTCACGTGACCCCCCCCCCTCGAGGTCACGCCCCAGGGTCACGTGACCCCCCCCCGCCAAGGTCACGTGACCTCCCCGATGACATCGTCACTGGACGTCACCGGCATCCGCATCGTCATCATCACTGTTGACGTCATCAGTGACGTCACTGATGACGTCACCGGCATCCGCATCGTCATCATCACGGATTACGTCATCAGTGACGTCACTGATGACGTCACCGACATCCGCATCGTCATCATCGCCGATGATGTCATCTGAGTCCACATCGTCACTGATGACCTCACCGGCATCGTCATCATCACTGATGACGTCATCAGTGACGTCACTGATGATGCCACCGGCATCATCACGGATGACGTCATCAGTGACGTCACTGATGACATCATGGGCATCGTCACGTGACCCCCCCAGGTCACTTCACCCCCCCAGCACCCTTCCCTCCTCCTCCTCAAGAGCTGCGCTCTAATTCGGTGTTACAGGGAGTTGTAAACGGCTTTCACTTTTTTTTCAAATAATCTTTGTAGGTCAGGGAGTATTTAGCAGACATGAACTACAGTATTTACCCGGAAAACATTTAGTATTTTTCTTCCACTGCAGAAATAAAATGCTGGATCGCTGGTCTTCGCCTAAATGTGGCCCTAGTAATCCGGACCAGGTGCCAAAGTTTCAGAACAGCGGGTTGATTGGGAGCAAAAAAAAAAAGTGGTACGATTTATTTATCTAGTCAGCAACAAGGTGAGAACGACGGGGAAGAGCTTCAGTTGTCCCGCCTTCGACCGCGCTTCAGCGCCTCCTGAACCTTGAGCGCACACATGCAACCAAAGCACGGCAGAAAGAGCAAAGCAAGTGCTGAAGGCCGGGCGTTCAAAAGACGTGCCCTACCATTCTCATTCTCGTTAAATTGCACAAGGGATGACGGTTACTTTTTCACCAGGGGTAGCCCTTTGAACGAGTGCCTCTATCTCACTATAAAAGTTTAAAACAATGGGGTTTTGGGAAATAGGCATTGTGTCTAGCACTTTGACGTTCGTCTTGTTCTCGGGGCTTTTTTTTTTGTTTTATTATTAGTCACATAAAAAACGGTTCTTTTGAGGAGGACTGCATTCTCTCTGGTTTCAGAATACTCCAACTAATGATTCGTCTCCCAGAGGTGCAGACGACTTCCCTTTGAGAACGGTGGCACGTGCCGTGGAGGAACCAGCAGTTCTTAGGAAGCTCCCAAATTCCACAGCAAGGACTATGGCCCATCAAGCCAAAACACCAATGCTTCTGACTAACAGTTGTACGGTTGCTGCTAGTGAGAAGTACAGTGAAATGAACACCAAGCGAGAATCGTCGAACGAAATCAGTCGCCCAGATGACGCTGCCACCGACCTACCGTTCGAGACGTTTCCTGGATTGTCGTTCTGGTGACTGGGTTGGCAAAGGACAGCATACAACCACGCGACGACCGTCAGTCTTGCCGGACTAGAGGGAAATTCTGCCCAGAATTTTCCGCCAGATTTGCCTGATTGATGACTGCACTTGGTAATAGCTACCCCAGTCTCAAGTTTACCTAGACTGCTATTCAACGGCACGAGTGTCGGTGAAGGGAAAGTATAATATTTGTTATCGAGTGCCCTTGTTCTTAAACTCTAGTACAAACTACTCCAGAAATTTTAGCCACGGGTAAAGGAAAGTGATTCGAGGGTTTTCTTCCTCGATTATACTAACAAAACTGATTTACAGAAAACTGTTAAGGCCCGTTCACACTCTTACAACCCAGTACGATTGAGAGAGACCAGACCGGTTTTTAAGCCTCTTACGACTTCTTAGGACCAACTCCGCAGCAGCGCACCCGGTTTTAAGAGGTCGCAAGAGGCTTAAAAACCGGTCTGGTCTCTCTCGGTAGTAGTGGGTTGCAAGAGTGTGAACGGCGCTTTACATGTCTAGTACCTTTAAAACTAGGCAGTCATTTAAGATTGATAAAATTTTATTTGATGTTAACCTGAAAATAAAAAGCTTAGTCCCAGTGTTTTTGCAAAACAATTAGAAAAAGCCACGGGAGAAGGCAGTATTTTTCTGTTCCATCTGAAATGCCGACATGCGCTGCAATACAAATGAGCAAAAAATACTACTGGAAGGTGTTTGGTACACGAGAAGGCCGTGTTAGGTTAAGAAATGCATGCTGTGCAAACAGAAACGTAGAGAAGTGGGCAACACCCTTCGAGAAGACTGCACAGCTCAAGCGCAGCTAAGCGTCTCTTGGCACATGATGGGAATGCACGTGAACATTGAGGTACACCGGCGTCGGAAGTGACTGCGTCTGGAAACCGATCTCCTGGGAACCGGACTTGGTGCCGCCATTTGCCGGAGGTGCCGTGGTGCAAAACACGAAAGGCGCTGCTGCAGTGTTATCCCAAGGCGGTTCTCCGGAGAAGCTGAGAGACCTTCTTGCGGCCCTCCCCTCCCAACCCCGGTTCGAACCGCTCGCAGTTGGGCGTCTAGTGGCACCGTCTTGAGTCGGCGGAACATAGCCCCAAACCCCTCCGTGGATGTTCCCTCCGAACGTCGCGCCCGATCCAAAAACGGGCCTCTTCTTGACGACGCCGTCTCCACGCAGCCACGGGCTACGCGAGATTGTCTTCAGACCGGGACATTCCTCGTCCACCCGATCTCTGCGACTCTTCCGGTCGTCTTGGACGGTTCCCTCGACGACGCCCCTCGCCGCGGTGTTGCGCCCCGCCGACCCCCGCTGCACTCCGACGCCGAACTGCCGGCATGGCGTGGCACCCGCCGATTCCGGCTCAAACACGTCGTCTGACGCGCGCGACAACTCTTCCGATGGACTTCCTGCGCGCCGGTTTCCGGCGTCTGCCGTGTTTCGGATGCTCGACACGTCCGCGAGAGAGTTCAGAGACTCCTCTGGCGTCGAAGAGAGGTTAGGCGGCCTCCTGCGTCCGACCTTTCGGACCGTCCTCGAAAACGGCCTCGCGGAGGAGGGCACGAAACCGCTGCTGCCCGTGCGGAACTCCTGGGGATTGGCGCTTTCGCTCCGGTACTCATAGCCGCCGGGGGTCGACAATGAAGCCGCCGGAGTATGCACCCGCTGCCCGAGGTGCTTCAACTGCGCCGTCCGCTCAGCCGTGAGCCTTGCCAACTTGACCAGCTCGTCCGTGGTGTTGCGGAGGCGGCGCTTGGCCCGGAGGACTTCCGCGTCCGCGTCCTCTTGCCGCAGGCGCAGTTCCGCGAGTTCCCGATCCAGGGATTGAGTACGCTTTGGGGAGGCCTGCGAGGCGCTCGTAGACGCGTCGGTGCGGCTTCGGTCGGCGGACAACATGCCCTGGATGCCGCTGTCTGCCTTTGTGCTCCCGTCGGTGTTTGGACTCTTGGACGAACCGCTTCGCGACAGGGCGATGAGCCTCAGGAGATCTCGACGACCGGAGGGGTCTAAGGCCGCCGACGTCTTGCGGAAGGCTTCTGTCCTCACGGCTTCGAGGAGCCGGTCCTTGTGCTTGAGGTCGACCAGCGCCGCCTGAAGGCGTTCCTCCAGGATCACGATCTGTTCCTGTTGGTGGGACATGGAAGAGCTGAGCTCTCGATTGAGACCACGCTCGTGTTCGAGGAGTGTCAGCAAGTCCTGCTTGTGGGATTCCTGCCGTTCCAGGTCTCCTTCTAGTTGGTCCTACAGTGGGGGCAAAAATGCTTAGTCAAAAATATGGAAGGGACAACTGCTCAAATTTATGCGGAGCTGCGCTTGCCTTTTGGTCGAGAACGGTGCTCATTTCTGTCTCGAGCTTGGCTCTGAGTTCGAGGTTCTCCCTTCGCAGGTCTTCGTTGGCGGATTCAAGGGACTGCCTCTCTGCTTGCAAAGTTGCGAGCTGGAATGAAACCGTGGCAATATGAGCGTTGCTCCCTCAAAATATATAGATATGAATTGACGCTATCTGACTGGGACTATCGCATTAAGCCATGGATTTTCAAACTGGGTTCCTAGGATCCCATCTGTCCCCAAAAGACCTCTCATGGGCTCCTTGAGCTTTCAAACTTCCTCAACAGTCCATGCTCATAAGTAAGCATTCTTCATGGTTGAGAAAACCCCGAGACTGCGGGTAAACGACACAACACTAAAAAGTCTCTAACACAGCTGAAATTTTTATTTTCCAAACCTGGTTATATAGGCACTTCGATACAAAAGAAAAAAAGGGGGAGAGGGTAAGAACCCCAAAGAACGCCACTTCCCACCACCGTAACCTCTGATTAAACAACAAGGACAACAGACTCTGCGTCACGCACTTCTCTTATCTTTGACCCCTCGCTTCCCGACCGCCAAACACACTGGTAACCCCAAGCCCAGTAACATATACAAAAAAGAAAAAAAAAAAGGAAAAAAAAGAAGGGTTTTCTCAACCATGTGCAATGTACACCAGCTCGTTTGCGCCCTTACTTTTTGTTCATCAAGCATTCTTCTAGTTTAAGCGCTATTTTAACTGAGCCACTTACCGTATTCTTTGTGAATGCGAAGAGCCCATTCTGTACACTAGTTATCTAAAGTGAATAGACTGCTTCAAGGCCCCTTGGATATGAGATATTCTGTCTTCCTTCTTTTTTGGGGGCATACAAACGAGTCTTCAAGCAGATGCAAGTAGGAACAACACGTGCATTTCCCTCCATATCACACTCTGGTGCAATCTGACATTTCTGGAAATCGCCAGTTCGGGATGTTTCTGTATGGTGCCTGGAACGCATCCAGGGTATCTAGCAAATTATTATTTTGATATTCCCTGACTTTTCCAGGTTTTCCCTGACAGTTTCAGGGGAAATTCCCTGATCGCTGTAGAGGCGGTTAAGTATATAAGACCATTACAACAGAAGGCATTGAACAGTGAGCACTGTGCATTGTGATTATCATTTTGCAAGAGCTTAATTCAACTTGTATATTCCAAAATATTCGGGTTCGTCCAGTACGGATTAAACAAGCACTCTCTTCCCGCCGACATCGTCAGTGAAGAGGCGTCATCCGGAAACACGATGAAAACACGACACCCAACCACACACGTCAATAACCGAATGGCAGCATGGCCGCCAGATGCATACTTTCGGCTTAAGGCTTGAATTGTTTTAAAGGTCTGCGGCTTTCCCACTTGCAACTAAATCTAGTAGCTCTAACTGGATCTAGCCTAGCGTCGTGCCCTCAATCCAATTCAAACCAATCCAAGACTTGGACTGGATTTGTCGCCTCTTCCCTTTGCATCGGGTAGCACACTCTACATCGAATGAGCAGAGCCCGTTCAATGCTCAAAGCAGAATTTATTGCCTATTCTTCTGTCCCCAAGCCCTCAAGTCTTTGCTCAGGGCACTCGATGGCGTATCCTGCTCATTTTCCCTGACAGGGCTCCCTTTTTGACAATATCCCTGACAATTCCCTGATTTTTCCCGGTAATTAAAATTTCCCTGACTATTCCCGGTTTTCCCGGTCGCTAGACGACCTGGCATCACATCCAACAACATGGCATAATGGCTTCCACGATCTTATTTGTGACCATTTCGCAACCACTTTCGATGCATGGGGGAATGAGACGCTAGAAAAACCGGTTAAGACACATTCCAGGCACAGCAGTTTCGGCACGAGCTGCGCTTGCTCGCTACACGGGCAAGCGCAAGCACTTCATTTGCAAGAACTTGAGGCCAAATCTGCCAGAACTTTAAGGCACCGCTCCAGAGCACTTCTGCACACCGTAGATCCACAACTTAGTGCGGTAATGGCGTATTCACACAATGCATCTTTTCAACTTGCAACGGTTTAGCGAAATCGGCCTGTTCGCACGTGGAGTTCGACATGCAAGACTGGTGACGTATTGACTCTCGAGAATTTCGCCAAACCTTGTCGTCTGCACTGGAAATATTGGGCGTTTGTATCAAAATGATGTCACGAAGACGGCTACGAGGCAGAGAAGGCGAGCAGTCCGAGCAAGATAGAAAACGATGACGAATGTGCCTCTCGACTGGACTAACCTTCGTCATCCCACTGTATATTTAACTTCATCCTTCACTGTAACAACTTGAAGTATGCACAATCTGAAGAGACAGTCTGCTTTATGAATACCACTCCATAAACTTTGTCTGATTTGGCTCATGGGGTTTACCAGGCCTGCCAGACCTGGGAAAGACCACGAACGTCAAGTTACAGGCGGATGATCTCGAAGTATTTCGGACATTTTTGCACCGCCAAAAAATAAGTTATCCCCAGTCATCATGTTTATACGCGGTGCTTGTACTCGTCGCGACTATTGATGAATCTGCACCGCGCCACCAACCTGTACTGCTAACCCATATTGCCCCTATGAACCGCTTCTCCCCTTGTCGCTCGCCGCCATGTTTGTCTTCTCTTCTTGGCTTTGGCTCGGATACGTAATCGACCAAAAATCGGACTCCACCAAAAGCTTGCTCCGTCTCGAACGCCAGAAGTCGTAGCGTTTCTCAAGCGGCCATTGGCGGCCTCCTAGAGTGATTGACAGGACTTGGAAGAGTTTTAGCAAAAAGCTCGCTCCTGAAGCGAGGAAAAAGCGCATCTTTTTCAGGCTCGTTCAAACGGCGCATCTGTTTCCACAACATTAAGTTTCGCGACACAGATTCGCTGAAAAGATGCATCGTGTAAACGGAGCAAAAGAAACATAAAAAAAAAAACGTGTCAACCAGGGTTCAGATTACCTGTTGTTGCAGCTGGTCGTTCTTGTCCTGCAAAGCCTGAAGTTGCTGTGAATGTTCCTCCACCAACCGCTCCCTCTCCAGCGAGAGCTTTTCTTCTTGCCTCTGGAGTTCTGCCCTATGTAAAAAATTCTCAGGTCCTTGCAACGCCTGTACAGTTACACTGCAGCACTTACATTTAGTGGACATACGTACCACTAAATATAGCAGATGCTGTTCATACGGCACAGTGACATCACGTGGTAGTGTGACATTCCATGACACTAGACTCCCGCTAAATCTAGCAGAGAAATTTAATGACTAAATTTAGCGGGAAAATTGTGATGTCATATAGCACCATAAAGTCACAATGTCACGACACTGCAATTCCCTGCTAAATTTAGTAAAAAAAATTTACCCGCTAAGATTAGTGAGAAAACGGTCACGTAACATGACACTATCGAGTAATGTCAGAACACTGATTTCCTGCTGAATTTAGCCAGAAAATGGTGACGTTACATGACACTAAGCCTAAAGAAAAAATTTACACTCTAAGTTCAGTGCGAAAATGGTGACGTTGTGTGACCTTCTGAAGTCACAATGTCTCAACACTGCAATTCCTCGCCAAATTTGGCGGTGAAATTTACCTCCTAAATATAGTGGGAAAATTGGGAAGTCACGTGACATTATAAAATCAATGCCCCAACACCGCGATTCCCTGCTAAGCTTGGCGGGAAAATGGTGACGCAACACAACATAATGTCACAACATTGATTTTCTGCTAAATTTAGTGGGAAAATTCTGACGTCGTGCGACACTGAAATCACAATGTCACATCGCTGGTTTCCTGCTAACTATAACGGAGAAATTTACTCACTAATAGCGAGTTTGTTTCACTGCACTCGTGCCCACGCGTGCACGCACTCGCTGCATTAAAATCGAGCATGCACCAGAATGCAATCCCATCACGCATCACTCAGGTGAGGTGAAAAAGCAGACGACAGGGGTTCGACTGCTACAAGCTGCCGTTCGCACAAAAAAAAAAAAAAAGCGAAAAAATAAAGGTGGACGTTTTGTTAGAAAATGCGCCCCGTGAGAGACGGGATTGAATGCAAGCTTGAATTGTGACTTTCTGCTATTTCATGAAGGAAGCAATCGACAACCTACACTTTTGCGAGTTTTGTTGCCAAACAGTCGCTGAAATCTATAGATGAGTAAAGAAAGGCTGGGGACAAACGGATCGGCGGCCGTGAGATCTCTTTCGCGGGTGTACGGGTGAAAAGTCGTCACCAAAATATGGCCGGTTGTGGACTCGAGAGCGGACATTTGTCGATAAAGCTCGCCCAGCAGAATTTGTGATGCGTCATATTAGCAGCCGAGAAAGCTAAACATGGCTATTTTAATTGTGTCTTGGATAAAATCACATGTTTAACATTTACCTACGCCAGTTATTTTGCAACTTCGTTTTTTGTTCGCAAAAGCTCTCAATCTCAACGCTCTCAATATGGCCGATTCATACGATGGACTGATCTGCGGACGGACTGATCACGTGACGACATGTCCGCAGTTTGTCCTTCTCCCGAGCGTATCCACACGAGGTAGACGACGAGCAGACACCAGAGAGGACGAACCGAACCTGTTCACCACCCCACAGTGCCGCGAAACTCCAGCATCGCACCATGGCACCGTTGTCCAAGAAAGAAATTGACATTTGCTACCATGATAAAGAATGGTGCCGCTGTTATGTTACGAGACAAAACATCGTGATGGGCTTCGCGCGAAGCGTCACTAGCTTTACTAACCCAAAGCATGACAGTGACGCACGCATGGTCCTGCTCGAGAAGGGTCTGGCTAGAAGCGACAAAGTTCTGGGTTTACGGAGGGGCATTTAGAGATGCCTTCACGCACTCCGCGCTCGTGCACAACACTCAAGCACACCACAGCCACAAGAAAGGTCTTGCTCGGTGAAAGTCTGATTGGACGTCTGAGAATTATCGCGGCTGCTGGACAAGTTTTGACGGAAGCATCTTGACACGGACCCGGAGGTGTATCGGAAACCTGCATCGCGTCAGCCGGGCAAAGTTTCTGGTTAAGTTTCTTTCACGCGTGAAACCAAGAATCGCACGACAAAATGAACCAGCAAATGCACAAAACACAATAATGTGCCATTTTTGTTTTAATCGTCCAAAAACAAAAAACCAAGGAAACATTGTACCGTTTTCCAAACTAAATGCTTTTCAAGTCAATCTCCCGCCAAAAATCTGCAAATAAAAAGGCTTTCGACTTTATCTGCCCACGTGTCTGCGGATGAGGCGCGGATAGCAGGAATTGGTGACGTGCCGGTCATGTGGTAGACGGTCCACGGGGACGAAAATTGCGATTCGGTCCGTCATGTAAATCGGCTATTAGAAACAAAAGCTGACCCAAATGCATGCGACAAAGGATCAAAATCAAAGGCGCGGGGATCAAAGTGCTGGAGATTCCAATAAACCAGTAATTCACACTTAAAGGGGCGGTGCAACAATTTTCGGACTTCGGTCAAAAATTTCTGGAAGTTGCCCCCTGACACTTCTGTAGTAAAGAACAGAAAACCAATTTTGCCTCCGTGTCCTAGTTGTTGCGTAAAAAAAAGATAAAGATTGGCATTTCGGGCAACCCTCAACTCACTCCCAGTCTTCAGGGTCACACCTGGTCGCACTCCCAGTGACGTCATTCGGAGTGCCGTGTAGCTTCCCGTGTGCTATCTCGGAGGACGCTTCCCCTCCCTCTCTCTGCGTACATTAGCGGGCGCTATGCTGCAGCTTAGAGCCGAGCGAGGTCACGTAATCTTTCCGCCGTAGTTCCTTCGGCTGCCACTTGGGGCTGCAGGTGGGGGAAAACGCTAGACTTTTGCTTTGCGATTATGCAGCGGAATCGCGAAATTTTTAAAGAAGGAAGTGTTTTCTCTATCCTCTGGGACACGATAAATAACGTAAACATGACGAGATGCAAATTGATTTAATCATAAAATCGTTGCACCGCCCCTTTAAAACTGAAAAAGCTCCTGCACGATTAGTATCAACAATGTATTCTCCAGTGTAAAGAGTTTTACGAATTGAAAGATTGCTCGGCTTTTTTTAGTTCTGTTGCTTTGTTGCCAGCTTTAGCTGGAAACATGCGTGGTCTGTAAATATCTTCACAATTAAACCAATCCAGTGGTTTAATCATTGCATCACATTTATAACAAGAAAAGGTGTTTCCTACACTCATCATACACAATCATTGTTTAAATTATACAAAATACAGGTGCGCACATTTTACTGAACGCGTTTCATTGTGTACTCTGTTGCAGCTGCTGAATGAGGGGCCCGGAGCTCCATCAAGCTGCATTTCTGCAGTTTTTTCTCCGGCCTCCCATTCACCAAATGCATCTGTGTGGTGAATCAATAAACTTTGTATCGTATCATAAATAGAGACGTTGTGCAATGACCGCATTGTGTTGGGTTCCCGCCTGTTATGTCGAACGGCGCTCGTTCCAGTTTCCCCCAGGTCGGTACCCCCGCTACAACATAGGTGGCGGCAGCATCAGTTTTCACTCGGCAAGTTCGTTCGGGACCGATTCTCCGCGAGTGTGATGCATTCTGGGAGAGAACTCGCACTCCCTAATCTCGCAAGTTTAGGGAAAAAATGGTGATGCCATGTGTAGAAACATTTACCCGCTAAATTCAATGGGAAGTTTTGACGTCGTGTAACACTATGAAGTCACAATGTCATGACATTGTGATTCCCCACTAAATTTGGTGGAGAAATTTACCTGCTAAATTTAGCGGACAAATTGTAACGCCATGCCACGTAAATGTCCCAACACCGTGATTCCCTGCTAAACTTGGAGGGAAAATGGTGACGCAGCATGACATTACGGAGTCATAATGTCACAACACTGTGATTCCCTGCTAAATTGAGCATATAAATTTTCCCGCTAAACTGAGTGCGCCACAACCTACATACACGAAAGGCATATTTGATGCGCTGCAAAACCTAGTAATGAATACTGCCGTAAACAAAGCGAAGGAAGCAAACACGTGTAGGCTAATCGGACAAAGAACTGCGCCCGGCCGTGGTCGACAGAACGTCTCGATACTCAACTGTGCATGTGCCAGTTGCAGGGACAGACCGTCGACTTGGGCCCTGGAGTTGGCTGCTCTGTCCTGAACCAAAGCATGGCGACTCACATAGTTCTCGGCCAGGTGATTCAACCTGCGTGCGAAAGATTGCAGCAGAGATGCGTCTTCGAGGCCTCTTTTTCGCACAATAAAGCAACTGAGAAACGCTTTCGAGAATCAGTTTTCAGGGCAGGTTCACACATTTGCATCTGAATGAGATCGACTGCACTCTGACCACTTGTGAAGGCTTACGACGAGAGAACACTAGTGCGCCTAGACTTGAAGGCGCGTTCACACTTGCAGCGATGCGATTAGTCCGAGCCATTTCGGAGCACCTTCTGGAGCTGCTACGAGTCAATTTTTGAGCAGCCAACTTTTGGAGCAAAAGCACGCACTTCATTTTCATTCCTAACACAGTGATGCGATTGACCTAAGCCATTTCGGAGCACCTGCTGGAGCAGCCAAAACAGCATTTTGGAGCAGCAAAAGCGGCTTTTGGAGCAGCCAAAACAGTGTTTCGGTGCAGAAAAAGTTGCTTTTGGAGCAGATATTCTTGGAAAAATAAATATTTGTTTTAACTGCTAGACAAGCGAAGGGCACTTTGTGTTGTGTTGTGACGGAACTCGCTGCTTGTGTTTTTACTGCCGAGACATCCCACAAGTATACAGTGCTGTAAGCATTGCCGAGCAATTCCGAAAAAAACACTTGCCACCGTTTTACTGGCTCCCGACATGCCAGATTTTTATAAAAAGTAAGCAAACCTAAAACAATGGATCGCAAACATTCTGGATGGTGCCTCTGTCGTGCAATCATGTTCACATGCATGTGAGGACAACTTCGGCAGGCTTGCGGTTGCACGTGCTTCGACCGATCTCACCAAGCGTTCCACGCATGCGTGACGCCGCCATAACTAGTTCATAGGAGGCAGACGCCAGTTCACGGGAGAGCTCATGCCGCCTCGTGCTCTGCTCGCGCAGGCCTCCAGCAGGGTTGTCGCGCGTGCAGAAAGACTACAGCTCCCACGATGCATGCCGGCAGCGGTGGCGTACTTAAACTAGCTGTGAGATTGGTCCGCTCCGTCGCCAACTGGTTCCCAAAATAGTATGCAAAATGTAACTGTCCAGCACATGGCTATAAACAGTCCAGCGGCGCGTGCTTGCCAGACCGGCAGGCGAGATACAGGCTAAACACACAGAAAAAAAGAACTTGGGCGCATCGGTGTCACGGTGTAAGATACACTCTTTAGGTGAGGACACGGCGGAGTTGAGCGCACGACGCGAGGAATCAGACAGTGTTCGTTCGACGGGAATCCGAAAGGCTGCATTATTCCGTGCCTGCAGAGCCGTGTATGCGTGCCTGCGGCTGACAGTGTGGCTGGCGGCCAAACGATGAAACTGTGTGAGAGCGAAAAAAATTATCTCGTTGCCATGACACCCCGGCATGAGCGACAACCTCGCTGGAGCTCTGCACGTGTGGAGCATGAGGCGGCACGAGCCATCTTTGAAAGTGCCCACGGGTCGACGAGTCATCTGCCGGCGCCGCTTGAAATCATAGTGAGAGAGAGAGTGAAAAGCGAACTTTATCTGCTCTGCGCGAGGAGCGCTGTCCTCACCTGAAGAGTATTATCTTACACCGTGATCGGTGTATGACATCGCGAGCCAGGGTCAAAAAGTTCTTGAAACGCTTTGTGAAGCGACTGAACTGGTAACAAATAAGCGCGCTGTGCAGGTTCAGCGTGCAGACATTGTCTTCTCTGCTTTAGCTCACTTCACCAACTTTCTGACACGGCAGATTTTTCACGTACCAGGGTCCCTTGCGAAAGAAAGCCCGACGAAAGAAACCTAAATAATCATTACTGAGCCAAGCAGTCTTTGAGTTAAATAGGGATTTTTGTAGGAGCGTATGATTTAAACCCAAACAGGAATGTCGATGCGTTTCAGTTTAGAAAGCGCCATATCTGCATCGACGTGGGGACGGCAACACACGACGTCGCGCGACCAAGGCGACTGGTCGCGGGAGCGCTTCAGCTCATAAAGTAACTCTCACCGCGCAAAAACGTGGTTTTGTTTCACAGCATGACGGCATGTCCGGCACCTGGCACACTAACGTTGGAGCGTCCGCACATGCCCACGTCAATCATTGAAATTTTTTTAAAAAGACGCGAAACGAGATTTTTGAGACGACGAGAGCGCGAAACCCGAGACGGCGGGAAAAGCCATGCAAGACCGGATAGACGATTGATGCAGTATACGTTATGTTGGGTGGCCCCTTGTGCTACCTAGCTCACGCATGCTCAATTACGGTTCTCAGTTTAGTTTCAGTTTTGAAAGGCGACCAAAGTGGTCCTTCGGCGCAGGCTTGGCGCAGATCACCCATATTTTGGCAAAATGTAGCAGGATGTAGCAGGGTTAGCTCCTTGGCGCAGTTTGGCACAATTGGCGCAGCAATCACATCACTGCTAACACTCTGAATACTGTACGATAAGGTATGAGTGTTGGCCTATCCATCAAACGACATTGTCTACTTTGCCCTCCTACTTTGGTGCAGCCTTCTGTCGCATTGATTGCACGGCAGATTTGATTCCCCCTAATGCCTCAAACACAGAACTAAATAGCTATCTAGTTGCGTGCAGAAGCACCAGGCACAACGATTTGCCTAATGTGAAGGATGGTATGAACTGGTGTGAAATTTAAGGTAAGGAGTCAAAGGTATACCAAATTATATTCTACGGAAATAATGTTGAAACAGAATAATATTCAGCATTGAAATTGATACTGCCAAGTGCACAGCTAGCCAAGTAGGCAACGCCCTTGGCTCCCATGCACTAGAACATTTTAGAACGTTGGAGAACCGTGTAGCTTGTTCATGTTCAGAATGTATACTTCCAGGATGAACAAGTTAGAATGTTCTAGACTTCTAAGGAAGGCTCAAAAGAAGCTGCGCCGTGCCATACGGAGTCAGTCTTTTGCCAGCGCTTGATTCTGCTGCAGCGCCGACATCGACGGCCGTGGCGCCCAGTTATCATACCTTTATTTTGGCACAAGTTTGCCCCTATTAAATCTTATTTTCGTCCCATTTTTTCCCGCCTTATCGTCTGCCATTTGTGCCCAAAATGACTCATTCGCCCTCACAGACCCATCAACAAAGATTGATTCCAAGCTTGGCAAAAAGACAGCTCTTTGAGGAACCTGAAACTCAGGTCAGCCGCCTTACCCAGGGACAGGCTCCTGAATTTGGTCTGCTGCTGGACAAGCCCAGGCCGAAGCAGACGACGATAGCCGACCGGTTGCAGAACCCAGCCGCTTCTACCATCGTTTACCTGCCCGTCGCACCATGGACGGCAGCTCCGTTCCGTGGCAAACAATACGAAGACATCGAAGACTGGATTGATCAGTACGAACACGTCGCCCGCCACAACAGCTGGACCGATGAGCAACGCCTGCAAAACCTTTATTTCTCGCTGGAGGGGACTGCCAGGCACTGGTACAAAAATACAGTCTAAGCCCATCACAACACACCAGGTTACAACAGACATATGGATATAACATTTTGATTTGTGAAGTTTGGTTGGTTTTACTCTACATATCATTGACTCAACTTCATATCTGCATACAACATACTCCTCTTACAACAGACCGAAACCTTGGTCAAAATCAAGGTCTGTTATACTATTCAGCTTAGACTGTAATGAGTCTTCTTTGACATCAGGGGACTTCTTTAGGGGCGAGCTGAAGGGGACGTTTGTGAACCAACTTCGCCGAGAGAGAGCCGAAGACCTACTTAGAACCAAAACCCAGGGCCCCAACCAGAGCATCACTGGCTTCGTGGAAGTTGTTCTGCGCCTGAGTGCCCATGCCGACCTTCACGCAACAACAGAGAAGTTAAGAATCCTCATGCGAGCCAGTTGCTACCAGCGAGTATCCAGCGTTGCCGGCCTCAGGCCGTCTAGCGCTAGGTCTTTGCGAGATCATTCGTGACGTCGTCCGGGAAGAGCTCGTGGAGCACCTGCCTGCTCCCAACCAGCCGGCTTCGCTGTCGATAGCCAAAGTTGTCCGCGAAGAAGTTCAGTGGGCAATCCAACCGGAGGCTCCTGCCAGCGTAGCAGTGGCCGAAGAGCCCACCCTGACCTGCGCCGTAGTAGCTCGGAGACCAACGCCAGCTGCCCGGCAGTACTTGACGCCGCCTCGACGTGACCTACCAATGCCACAGACTTTCCCACGTCGGGAAGGGCAACTCCAGCTCGTCCGCTTCGAACAACTAGCGCCTAGTAAAACGGATATGTGGCGCTAGGCCGATCAACAACCGCTGTGTTACAGTCGAATCTCGTTAATTCAAACTTCTGGATAATTCAAACTACCGTATTTACCCGAAAATAGGTCGACCACGAAAATAGGTCGACCCCTATTTATCGAGCCCACCGAGAATAAAAAAAAATAATTCAAATATAGGTCGACCTTTCTTCTTTTTTTTTTTTTTTAAGGAACAGGGGAAAGTTAGGGCAAAAGAAACAAACCTTTATTTACAGCACTCTCAGCTAAATCACAGGGCGATGTCAAAAAAGCTTAGTCAGCTTGGTAGACATCCTCGCAAATTGGCAACAAAACCTCACTGACACCGTTGTAAAATGAATGACGACAAGAAGAAACGAAAGAAGGTTGAGACGGGCGAGCGACGAAAGATCAAACACAAAGACACGAGCAACGCTTCCAACCCCGTAAGCAACACGCGACCCACCGAAAAAAAAAAAAGTACCTCCGTTTTTTTGTTTTGTTTTTGTTTGCGCGTTTGCGAGGGAGAGAGGAATGGAGCGCATAGGAGGGCAAAGTGCAAAGTGCATGGCGCATCGCGTTCCTCAAGGTTCCTCTCCCTCCTCTTCCCCCCTACCCAGCGAGGGGAACGCTACAGGCGTGATGGCGAAACTCGACGCCCGAGGAATGTGCGCGAGAGCCGTAGCCGGCGGACACGGGCTGTCGGCTGCTGCTGTTCGGTTGTTTTTGTGCATCAAAAGCTTTTTGAAGCAAGAAGCCGCGTGGCTCTACCGGGACGCCGGCTAGGTGATTGATAGCTCCATACCCTCGGTAGGGTTTAAAATTT